ATGTTGATTTATTTTAATCAGGATAATATTTAGTACAATATAAATTAATGTAATAATAATATTATAATAACAATTGAGTTTAATATATTTATATTAGAAGTAATATACTGAATCTTACAATATTCCAATTGCTTTCATTATTTTTTCAGCTCCAAATGATTTAGATACTGCAACGTTCCGATTTTCGCCTGTCTTTGTTATCTGTATTTTTTTATAAATTATTGTAAATTGTTTGCTTACTATTTAAAAGTTTTAATATTTTACCAAAGAGTATATACACATAGAGTGTGCATGTCGAACAAAATATCAGTCACAAAAATTTTGTTCTACTGGTTTTTTAAAAACCCAGGAATTACTCAATATTTGAGTCCTTTTACTATATGTGTGCAAAGAGACTGTATTTTCATTGATATGTGCACATTATCACACTCAACCGCTCTTTGGGTTATAAATATGCTCATTTGGATATAAAAACATATGTATATACATATATGCATTTTATATTATGTTCGTTTTCTTTAATTTGTATGTATATTTAAATATGTTCATATTTCGTTTATTAAACTATTTTGTATATATGTTTTGTTCTTTATCATTTTACTAATATTTGCAATATTACAATTTAATTTAATTCTAAGAATGTAAAATATGTACTTATATAATATTCGCTAATTTGACACTTGCTTAACTTAATTAATTCTAAAAATATAATTATCTATTTTACAATGTTTGGTTATTTAATAATACAAATTATTTTAATAATATTCTTATTCTTAACATTTAAAAAAAATATAAATTCACTATATATTTTTATGACTAAATTCTGGCTAAGTTCTTTTACATTATTGTTAATAAGAGTTGTATTAATTGATCTTATATTAAGTGCTAACTTGAATTGTAGAGCTAACATATTTCATATTCATTTTAGAAATGTGTGTTGATTTTAGACTTCTCTAAGGCCCACAAGCAATGCTTACGAAGTAAAAGCAGAATTAAAAAATCAAGAAGCTGGATTAAATGTTCATTACAGGGTCCCTTAAACCACTGAGGGGTTTTTTCTTGCACATTTCTATTATTAAACTTTTAATGCCAATTGCATCTGGTTTATTCTTGAATACATTTTTAAAAACCTCGACATGTTTACAAGAAACATTGAAAAAACTTTGTGATGGCGCAAACAGGTTACCGAAATTTGAAAGAGAATTATAATTTTTATAGTAGATGAAAAGCTCACTTTTAATTTTACTATTAATAAAATTTAAACATGTTTTTATTTAAAATTGGTAATAATATCCTAACCTGTAAAAAATGTAAAAAATGATAATTTTTCAATTAGTAGATATAAAATTATAAGGGTTCAAATTTCGCCAAAATTGTACGAAATCTCAATTTCGCCAAAATTTCATACAATTGCGAATAACATACAATAATTTACAAAATATACTGTAATTTTCGGTTTTACAGAAAATTCTATTATGAATGAAATAAAATGGATTGTAAACAAAAAATAAGTTTTTTGGTATTTTTGCAGACATTTATTCCTTTAATATTTTCATTAGTTGCTGTTCTTGATTTCTCAATTGTTAAATGCACCTTTCTACATAAAAATACCAACAACTGTAGTTCAGAGCGCAGAAAAGCAATACAAACTGCTTTAAAACTCATTAAGTATAAAATGCTTAAACACTCCAAACTCTCCCGCATGTTAAAACTGAAAAATTAAAAATTGAGTCACAACGGGTCCATATGACACAAAAATAACTCAAATACTATTTCCCCGATTTCTGCGACCGATTTTTGTGAAATTGCCCTCACTTCATTTTTAAGATTTTTTGAGTGATGCACACTCTATGTATATATACTCTTTGATTTTTACTATTCACTTTAAGTTCTTATTTTAAATTGTACAAATTTTTTTTTCTATTTTTTTATTAAAAAATTTAATATTTTGTTTTGGTTCACTTTAAATTTCTTTATTTTGAATATTTAAATTGTTGTTACTATTTTTTTTTAAAAATTAATATATATTTCAATTCACTTTAAATTTTTTTTTTAAATTATTATTGTTTGTTTATATTTTATTATTTAAAATTTTAATATTTATTCAATTCACTTTAATTTCTTTGTTTTAAATTTTTTAGATGTTTGTTTACTATTTTTTTAAAAATTTTAATATATTGTTTTAATTCACTTTAAATTTCTTTATTTTAAATTATTTTAAATTGCTTGTTTACTATTTTATTATTTAAAATTTTAATATATTATTTCAATTCACTTTAAATTTCTTTATTTTAAATTATTTTAAATTGTTTGTTTACTATTTTATTATTTAAAAAATTTTAATATATTATTTTAATTCACTTTATGTTTCTTAGTGTGATGAAGCGGCTGATACTACATGTATCCCCTTTTTGCAATTAAGCTACTTAGGAGCCTCTTTCTTCACATGTACACTGGAGTTTTAATATTTTGAGAAATTTTATTGGGATTTTCTGAATATGATCGATTATATCGAATTTTTTATATTTTTAAATCCACTTATTGTTTCCACAAAGTTATTTTCAATTTAGAATTTCATTGGACTTTTCTGAATATGTTCGATTATATCGAATTTTTTATATTTTTAAATCCACTTATTGTTTCCACAAAGTTATTTTCAATTTAGAATTTCGTTGGACTTTTCTGAATATGTTCGATTATATCGAATTTTTTTATATTTTTAAATCCACTTATTGTTTCCACAAAGTTATTTTCACTTTTATACTGAATAATTTTTTATTAATTTGTTTAACAAAATTATTTCCACTTTTATATTGGATAATTTTTTATTAATTTATTTAACAAAATTATTTCCACTTTTATATTGGATAATTTTTTTATTAATTTGTAAAACAAAATTATTTCCACTTTTATATTGGATAATTTTTTTATTAATTTGTTCAACAAAATTATTTCCACTTTTATACTGAATAATTTTTTATTAATTTGTTTAACAAAATTATTTCCACTTTTATATTGGATAATTTTTTATTAATTTATTTAACAAAATTATTTCCACTTTTATATTGGATAATTTTTTTATTAATTTGTAAAACAAAATTATTTCCACTTTTATATTGGATAATTTTTTTATTAATTTGTTCAACAAAATTATTTCCACTTTTATATTGGATAATTTTTTTATTAATTTGTTCAACAAAATTATTTCCACTTTTATATTGGATAATTTTTTTATTAATTTGTTCAACAAATTTACTACGTTGGGCGCCAATTTGTTCTTTGTCTATTTCTTTTATAAAAAAAAATAAAATTTAATTACTTTGTTTACGTAGCTATGCTATTAATAATTTTGAAATGTTGGTTTGTAGCTGAAATTTTTGGGTGATCGCGTTGCACTGCCACGTGAATGTTGAATGTAGCGTTCTCACGCTGTAGTAGACGCACTGTCAGCAAATTATAATTTGCGCGTGTTTGGCATTGTTGTTGCTGCCGCTTATTTATCATTAACATATACAGACATAACAGCTTCAACACGTTCGACAAATTGCGTAGCCGTAATAGAATCTTCATTCGTTGGGTCGAATTCGGGCAAGACTTCTGCGATTTCTCGTATAGAATGCGCGTTACGGTCCTTACTAGGCATTTCTGAAGTACTGTTTTGATTGTTTTTAACGTTATTCTGGTTACTTCTAACGTTATTATCTTGGCTACTTGTTGAACCATTTGCCGCAGTTCGCTAATTTGTTTTCTCAATTCTTCGTTTTTACCCCGCAATTCCTCATTATTGTTTGTAAATTGCAAAACTACGCCGCTTGACTTCACGTGTTCAGTTAATCCTGCAACTAATTCCGCCTTATTGCCTGTAGGTGATAACTCTTGTTGTTGTAAGAAGTTCTTCAACTGTTCCTTCGTCAGTGACTCGATGGTCACCATCATTACGTATATATCTGCGTTCGTTTTTTTTTTTTTATTTTTCTGCGCCAAATATTCAAACTTACGTTTTAATTACTCTCCTTTAGGGCATTGATTCTATCCCACTTCTGAACTTTAAATTTGGTTTTTGAGTTAAGTACATAACTTTAATAGACTTTATTTAAATGACTTTAATTTACTTTATTTAACTGAACAAAATATTTAATAACATAACTGTTGGAGTATAGTTTGTTTATTTTGTATGATAATTTTTACAATTTTAATTATATTCAATTATATTCAATAATTTTTATTATATTCAAAAATTTTATTACACAAGCTAATAACAATTTATAGTTTACAAGACATTATTTATATTATAAAATTCTGAAAAAGTTAATCGAAATTGTTTTGTATCTTTACTATAATTTATATGACTTTGTTGGAGGTGGTGGATTGCACAGCACAATTTTATTATTTATTAAACGATTATTAATAACTAATTTCCAACAAAACCACCGATTGGCCATCCGACCATGCTGCGATCTTAAACGCGACTGCCTCATAGCGAAATTGCAAAAAGTACAAGAGCGCATTACGAGCGCGATGCGCTCTGTTGATTCTCTTGATTTCCTACAACATGCTCCGCCCGTTGAAAGGACCCTTTCAAAACGTTTAATCGATAGGGAGTGGTGCAATTTTGTGGATAGGCCGCCGAAGCACACCCTGGTTAGTGCGAATATCTACTACGCGAATTCTTCCATCTTTACCTGTTATAGTTTCCACAATCCTGCCCAGTTGCCAGTGTTGTGAAGGAAGATTGTCATTGTGAATAATTACCAAACGACCAACAGTGATATTAGTTTCAGGTTTAAGCCATTTAGATCTAAGCTGCAAAGTGTGTAAATAGTCACGCCGCCACATTTCCCAAAATTGCTGTTTTAAGTACGTAACACGTTGCCAACGAGATAAATATGATATGTTGCTTATTGTATAATTCCTTTCAGGAATTGTAATTAACGAAGAGCCTATTAATAAGTGTGCAGGCGTTAAAGCCTCACCATCGTTCGGATCGTCTGATAATGGAATTATCGGCCGGAATTTAAAATCGCTTCAGCTTCAATAATCACGGTTTGTAATTCTTCGTAAGTTAGGCTAGATTGCGCCAAATTTTTTAATAATATTGTTTTGAGAGATTTCACCGACGCCTCCCAAAGTCCACCAAAATGAGGTGCTCTTGGCGGAATGAACTTAAACTCAATTCCAGTATTGTTGCTGTACTCTTGCATTTCTCTAAGCCCTTGCTGACTGAAAAATTGTTCTTTAAATTTATTTAATAGTGTCTGCGCGCCAGTGAAATTTGTTGCATTGTCACAATAAATGCGCTGCGGCAGTCCACGACGTGATATGAATCTTTTTAGGCCTAGAATGAAATTATTAGTGGATAAATCTGATATTAATTCTGTGTGAACTGCTTTTGATGAAAAGCAGACAAAAATTGCAATATAAGTTTTATATGGAACTTTACTACGAATACGATATGTGGTATAAAATGGTCCACATAAATCAACTCCTGATATTAGAAATGGTCGGTTTGCAACTAATCGATCGGCTGGCAGCGAACCCATGATTTGTTGTAACAGCTTCGGTTTATAGTGGAAACAGTGAACGCAGTTACGCACTACCTTTCGAGCTACTTCCCGAGCATTAATTATCCATACTTGAGAGCGTATTAGACTAATTAAAACCTTAGGTCCAACGTGCATGTGTTTACAATGTAAGTATTCCACAAAAATTTGAGCAAACCGATGATCACGTGGCAATAAAGCTGGAAATTTTGCATCAAAGCCTATTGGTGCATTGGTCAATCGTCCTCCTACTCGAATTATATTAAATGTTCCACTTGTAGTGACCGTTTTATCCAAAAAGAGGTTTAGTTTTTGCAAGTCTGGATTCAAGATTTTACCCGATTGAAGTGATAATATTACACTGCGATATGTACAATGTTGAAGGTGTGATATAATACGCCAAAATGATTCTCGAAATTCACGCACTGTAATTGGACTCACGTCGTTTACGGTTTGAGTTTTGTTTATTGGTACTTTGTTAAAGACTCGAAAGATATATGATATTATTCGAACAATACGACGAAATGAGAAAAAATCGTCAATAATTTTATTGATTATATGTTCATCGATACCATTGTTGCTACATTTCAAGACTGTAGGTTTTCGTTGTTCAAGGTCCTTTGCGAGAAATTCAGTTTTTGATGTTTCTTTTGGCCATTCTGCTGATTGAAGCGACAAAAACTTTGGTCCACAAAACCAAATCGAATTCTTCAGCTCGCTTGCTCGACAGCCTCGAGATATTATATCAGCTGGGTTTTGCTTACTGGGACGTGACTCCACCTAATGCCACGCGAATAGTCCTGCAGTTCAGAAACACGGTTAGCTATAAAACAATTTAAAGTTGACGAATGCATCTTCATCCAATGTAACACAATTTTAGAATCTGTCCAAAAAAAGATTTCATTAATAAATGGTAATACTTTGGGTTTTATTTTGTTCCAAGTTTTACAAAGAAGTACGGCAGCGCATAATTCTAAACGAGGCAGCGATACTGCTTTTATCGGCGCCACCTTTGATTTCGATATCAACAACGAAGATTTGTAAAAGCCATTATGCTTTGACCGAATATATATACAACATCCGAATGCTCGTTGAGAAGCATCGGCAAATCCGTGTACCTGACTGTAGCAAGCTGATGATGTTAAAACATATCTTGGCACTTCAATGTGGTTAAGATATTCCAAATCAGATTGAATTTGTATCCATGATTGGTTTAGAAGTGGAGGCAATGGATCATCGCAACCCAGTTGATGAATCCATAATTCCTGTATTAAGATTTTACACCGTATAACAATGGGACTCAATAGTCCTAAAAGATCAAAAATTCGAGCAACAACTGATAAAATAGTACGTTTGGTCGCAGCCTTTGACTCTTGTTGCTTATATTGAAAGCAAAAAACGTCATCTGATGGCCTCCACGCCAAACCGAGAGTTTTGGTAATATCATCTTCGTTTAAAAGAATTTGGTATTCGTCACTTGAGTTTACCCAATTTTTGTGGTTGGAGCTCCATTTTGCCAATTGTAATCCTGCATTTGCTGCTATTTTATTCACTTGTGATACTTTGATGCAAAGC